AGTGCTTGCCTTGCATGCCTGAGTCCCTGGGTTCGATTCCTCAGCACCACATAAGCAAAAAGAAAAAAGCCGGAAGTGGCGCTGTGACTCGAGCGGTAGAGCGCTAGCCTTGAGCTGAAGAGCTGAGGGACAGCGCCCAGGCCCAGAGTTCAGGCCCCACGACCGGACCCCCAAAAAAATTAAATAAATAAAAAATAAGTCACTTGAAGAGAGTGTCCCTCTACGAGTGTGTTTAGAGTCAGGAGAAGATCCTGTGTCTTAGGTTTCCTCACAAGCCATTTATTGAGGTCATTTTCAAATTTTTGGCATGTAGATGGGAAGAAACTTGTTGGCTTGAGAGGGGTTAGGATCCTAGAGTTTGAAGTCATTTCCTTGGTTTTCTGAAACAATACAGAAAGGTGGGAAACCCTCAAGTGGCTGACTTCCTGACACTCCTGAATCTTTTTCAGGCTTTCTCCCGTCTCATCTTGATTCTGCGGGCCCTGCATGTGAACAATGACCGTGCAAAGGTGATCCTAAAGCCAGATAAAACTACTATTACAGAACCCCACCACATCTGGCCTACCCTGACTGATGAGGAGTGGATCAAGGTGGAGGTGCAGCTCAAGGATCTTATTTTGGCTGACTACGGCAAGAAAAACAAGTGAGCAGTGATGGTGGGGAAACATGCAGGAGATTCCTAAAGGGCAAAGTGCATCTAAGCATAGCATTTAGGCTTAGAAGTTTCTCAGGAAATAGTCTGAGATGCCAAAAAAAGTAGACAGTATTTTCAGGTAACATAGGCAGCGCCCATGCTTTTCATGGAGGTATCTTTGTCATTTTGAGCAGGATACATTTATTTGCTTATTTAAGTTTTTTCATTTTGCTGGTCTGGGGCTTGAACTCTGGGGCTTGGCTGTTGTCCCTGTACTTCTTTCCTTCAAGGCGAGTGCTTTACCACTGAACCACAGTTCTACTTAGGGCCTTTTTAAATAGTTAATTGGATATAAGAGTCTCTCAGACTTTCCTGTCTGGGCTAGCTTCAAACCATGATCCTCAGATCTCAGCCTCCTGAATAGTTAGGATTACAGGCATGTGAGCCACCATTGCCCAGCAGGGTATTTCTTTTTATAAATGTCCAAGTCCCTAAGTACTTCTGCTGTCAACACGTATGTTCTGTCGACTCTCTTCCATGTCATTGCAGCATCCAAAAGTATCCATAAACTCCCAAATATTCATTAAGGTGACTAATAGTGCCTCTGACAGAATAAGTTTTAGGGTTTCTGAGATTTTTGTTTTTTTGTTGTTGTTTCTCTGGTTTTTGTTTTGTTCTGTTTTGTTATTGGTGCCGGTCTGGGGCTTGAACTCAGCATCTGGGTGCTGTTCCTGAGCTACTTTGCTCAAGGCTACCACTTGTGCCACATTATCAACTTCTGGCGTTTTTGGTAACTGATTGGAGATAAGGGTCTTATGGACATTCCTGCCCAGGCTGGGCAATTCTTAGATCTCAGCCTAATGAGTAGCTAGGATTACAGGTGTGAGCCTAGCTCATCTGTGGGTTTTTTTTCTGTTGTTGTTGTTTTGTTTTGTTGGTCATAGGGCTTAAACTCAGGGCCTGGACACTGTCCCTAAGCTTTTCTAATCAAAGATACTACTCTTCCATTTTGAGCTACAAATCCACTTTTGGTTTCTGGTGGCAAATTGAAGATAAGAGTCTCACGAACTTTCCAGCCCAACTGGCTTTCAACTGTGATCTTCAGATTACAGCCTCCTGAGTAGCTAGGTTTATAGGCATGAGCCACCAGTGACAGTATTTTGCGACAGAGTTTTCACTGTGTAGTCTGGGCTGCCCTGAATTCATAATCCTCCTGCCTCAATCTCCTGACTACTGGAATTACAGTCATATGCTACCATGCCTCGATTGGAATACATACATGTTTGTGTATGTATGTGTGTATATGTGTATGTGTATCTTTTTACCCTTGGTTACTAGGGTTTGAACTCAGAGCCTACTAGGCATGCCCTACCACTTGAGCTATATCTATAGCCTAACATTTCCATTTTTGAGAATTGTTTTGTGTCAGAGCACTTTTTGTGTCACTTGAGGACTATCTGGGTAAAGTTATGGTCTGTCCTGTTCACAAGTTACAGCTTTGACATCAAGGCAAAAGTGACAAAGGGGAAAGGATCTCGTGTAACTCAGACTATTCCCACAGTGTGAATGTGGCATCACTGACACAGTCAGAAATTCGAGATATCATCTTGGGTATGGAGATCTCAGCTCCATCACAGCAGCGGCAGCAGATAGCAGAGATTGAGAAGCAGACCAAAGAACAGTCACAGCTGACTGCAACCCAAACTCGCACTGTCAACAAACATGGTGACGAGATCATCACCTCTACCACCAGCAACTATGAGACTCAGACCTTCTCATCTAAGACTGAATGGAGGGTCAGGTATTATGAAGAGCAAGAGGGCAGGGATGATGGTGTGTTTGCTGATAATGTTGAAAGATCCTGATATTCCCTACTTGTTTTTTAGGGCCATCTCTGCTGCCAACCTGCACCTACGGACCAATCACATTTATGTTTCCTCTGATGACATCAAGGAGACTGGCTATACTTATATCCTTCCAAAGAATGTGCTTAAGAAGTTCATCTGCATATCTGACCTTCGTGCCCAAGTGAGTGAGTCTGTTTAATTGGGCCATAATTGCACCCATATGTCATGTGCCTACCTAGAATTCACCTGGTAATTCCAGGAACATGAGATACTGAAGATTCATGGATGAATAACTATAAAAAAGGATTGCCAGGGCTGGGAATGTGGCTTACACAGAAAAAGCTGGAAGTGGCTCGATGGTTCAAGTGGTAGAGTGCTAGCCTTGAGCAAATGAAACTCAGTCCCCATACCCTGAGTTCAAGGCCCAGGACTGGCAAAAAAATAAAGAATAGCCAAAATAGCAAGAAGGATTTTTTTTTTTTTTTGGTAATGGGGCTTGAACTCTGGGCCTGAGCGCTGTCCCTCAGCTGTTCAGCTCAAGGCTAGCGCTCTACCACTTGAGCTACAGTGACACTTCCGGTTTTCTAGTGGCTTATTGGAGATAAGAGTTTCCCAGACTTTCCTGCCCAGGCTGGCTTTGAACCCAGATCCTCAGATCTCAACCTCCTGAGTAGCTAGGATTACAGGCGTGATCCGCCAGTGCCTGGCTAAGAAGGGTATTTTTTGTTTGCCCTTTTTTTTTTTTTTTTGTACCAGTACTGGAACTTGAACAATGGGCCCAGTTGAAGAGATAAAAGGTAGTTTAGTAAAGGAACTGAAAATGCCAAACATAGTATGAAAAGATGATCCGCTTTGTTAGTAAATGATTTTTTTTTTTTTTTTTGTCAAGTCGTGGGCCTGAACTCTGGGCCTGGGCGCTGTCCCTCAGCTCTTCAGCTCAAGGCTAGCACTCTACCACTTGAGCCACAGCGCCACTTCCGGCTTTTTTCTTTTTGCTTATGTGATGCTGAGGAATCGAACTCAGGGCCTCAGTCTACCACTTGAGCCACAGCGCCACTTCCGGCTTTTTTCTTTTTGCTTATGTGATGCTGAGGAATCGAACTCAGGGCCTCAGGCATGCAAGGCAAGCACTCTACCACTGAGCCACCTTCCCAGCCCCAAAAGTTAGGTTTTTTTAATCCTGCTTATCACTTAGCCAGGATGGATTGGTGATCTCTGCATGAGAACATATTATAACTTTAATTTTATTTTCTTGGTCAGACGACTGACTTTAGAAGATCTAGAAGATTCATGGGATCGTGGCATTCCTCGAATCAACACCCTTTTCCAGAAGGACCGGCATACATTGGCTTATGATAAGGGCTGGCGTGTCAGAACAGACTTTAAGCAGTACCAGGTATGTGAAAGAGGTAGTAGAGAATTTTCTCTAATAAGGAATACTTATGGCTATCTGAAGGACTTTAACAGAAGCTTGACAATACTTGCTTTCCCATTAGGTTTTGAAACAGAACCCTTTCTGGTGGACACACCAGCGGCATGATGGAAAGCTCTGGAACCTAAACAACTACCGTACAGACATGATCCAGGCCCTGGGTGGTGTAGAAGGCATTCTGGAGCACACACTCTTCAAGGGCACCTACTTCCCTACATGGGAAGGTCTCTTCTGGTAAGGATTTTCCCCTCCTTTTATGACGGGAACCTATTACAGTTCTGTGAGCTTTCACAGTCTTCTGTGGTGTTGCCCAGATAGCTACCACCTGGAAGTCAGCAGTACTCTGGGAGATAATAGGATCTCACTTCATATGATTCTTCTCCCAGGGAGAAGGCCAGTGGCTTTGAGGAATCTATGAAGTGGAAGAAACTAACTAATGCTCAGCGATCAGGATTGAATCAGATTCCCAATCGTAGATTCACCCTTTGGTGGTCCCCAACTATAAATCGAGCCAATGTAAGTCTTAGACATGAGAGTTGAAAACAAAAAGATTCTGCTGCCTTAATTATATCCTGAGAACTAAAGTCTCTTGATCACTAATATCACATTCCCTCTTTCCTGACAGGTATATGTAGGCTTTCAGGTGCAGCTGGACCTGACAGGTATCTTCATGCATGGCAAAATCCCTACACTGAAGATCTCCCTCATCCAGATATTCCGAGCTCACTTGTGGCAGAAGATCCATGAGAGCATTGTTATGGATTTGTGTCAGGTAGGCTACAATTGAAGGATAAGAGGGTATCAGAAAGAGTCCAAACAGCTTGCTCTTTTGAGTATGAAAAATCTACCCTGGATGCTATGAAGATGAGATTCATATTGCTTTCTTCTCTTAAATTCTACACTCTCATACTAAGTGGATTTCTGTAATAAGTTACCACCTTTCCATCTTCATCTTCAGGTGTTTGACCAGGAACTGGATGCACTGGAAATTGAGACTGTGCAAAAGGAGACAATCCATCCTCGAAAGTCCTATAAGATGAACTCTTCCTGTGCAGACATATTACTGTTTGCCTCCTATAAATGGAATGTCTCCCGGCCTTCGTTGCTGGCTGATTCCAAGTAAGTGTTTTATAACCTACTTCTCAGCATCCAGGTAACTTAGTGTTACTATTTTCCTAGTAGAATTAAGGAAGACATTAACCTCCTCTTTCTTTATCTTTTGGTTTTTTTTTTAGAGAGAGAGGCTCAGCCTGCCCTTAAACTTAGGATCTTCCTGTTTCATCCTCACAAGTTCTAGGATTATAAGTATATGTCATCACACCTAGCTCCCTGCCTGACTTTCTTTCAAACTTGGAGCCAGTGCTAACCACTGTAGCCTATGATACTCTCAGTGAGATGTGCTGATTCTCTTTCTCTTTTATTTATTTATTTTTTTTGGGGGGGTGTCAGTCATGGGGCTTGAACTCTGGGTCTGTCCATGAGCTCTTCAGCTCAAGGCCAATACTCTTATCACTTGAGCCACAGCACTACTTCTGGTTTTTTGGTGGTTAATTGGAGATAAGTCTCACAGACTTTCCTGCCTGGGCTGGCTTTAAACTGTGGTCTTCAAATCTCAGCCTCCTGAGTAGCTAGGATTCCAAGTGTGAGCCACTGGCACCAGGCCATGCTGATTCTCTATCTGAGGTGGAACAGGCAGAAGTTTCAGGATTTAGGTGTAATAAGTAGATATTCTCATGGCTCTGGAGACATTTGTTACAGTTGTGGCTTTCAAGAAACCTCTTTCTATTTTTAGGGATGTGATGGACAGCACCACTACTCAGAAGTATTGGATTGACATCCAGTTGCGCTGGGGGGACTATGATTCCCATGATATCGAACGCTATGCCAGGGCCAAGTTCCTGGATTATACCACAGACAACATGAGTATTTACCCTTCACCCACAGGTGTGCTCATTGCTATTGACCTGGCTTATAATCTGCACAGGTGAGTTAGGGTTCAGAAGTGTGTAATGTCCATTAACTATGTATATATAGTTTCACCCCCGCACACATGTACACGTACACGTACACATATACAAAAAAGTTGTTGGTGGTGGTTGTGGGGCTTGAACTCAGGGCCTAGGTGCTGTTCCTGAGCTCTTTTGCTCAAGGCCAGCTTTCTACCACTTGAGC